TTACACACATGGAAAGGCTTCCTGAAACAGCTCAAATCTTGGGTAAAAAGGGCGGGGGGGGGGGAAGCAGCAAAACAAGCCCAAGCTTGCTGTAAAAATCAGGTTTTTAGTCCTTGTGTTTGTTGTTTCAGCACTGGGAAGGGTCAGTGCTGTAAGGAGTGCTGGCTGGGTGGTTCTAGGGCTGAAAATGCCTGCATCTAAAATGTTAAATATGACACCCCTGGGAGTGGTTACAGCCCATTATATCAGAAAATGGGATTACTTCCCATCTGCTGTTTAAACAAGCAGGACTCATTCCACAGAAGCACGCTGCCCGCTGTCAAATACAAGCTAAGTGGTAGCCCTAAATTAAAATACAGTTATAAAAGCTGACTGAAACTGTCAGGGAACAATCCCTGATTTACTGTCTCAAATGGTTCCATGAGCTGAGAGGAAAACACCCTGTGGAACAGTCACTGTTACTCTTCCAAAGTCGAAAAACCTCAGGTAAAAAAAAGGGGGAAACCCAAGTTTTTCCCACTAAGGAATCCCTCATTTGGGAGAAACATTCTTCTACAAAACTAAGATACTTGCCCAGCACAACAGAACTTCCCTTTCCTGCATTCCCTACCCTGAAGTCTATGTGGAAAAGGGGTGGCAAAGCAAGAGCATTTTGGGGCAAAGCGAAGGGCAGGAGCTGCCCTCCAAAAGGCAGGCTGTGCAACAGCCTTGGCACAGAGGTGGCAGCAAAGGCCTTCTCTCACCTGCACAGCAGAACCACCACGGAGTCTGCCTTGGCTGGGATGAAGCCGAGCAGGAAGACGTTGCGGCATCCGCAGTTGTAGCACTCCAGGACGGTCTCCCCCAGGGGCCCATCCTTGTGCAGAGTCACCTCTTTGCACTTGGCTCTCACCAGGTGGTTCACAATGTGGCTGAAACCAAAGGGGAGGTGCCATTAATGGGAGCGTCTCATTTAGCCCTGATTGAATTCATCAGCTCTTTTTCACCCTAAGGTTTCTCAGCGCGTGGATGTTTTAAGGTGGATGAGCGTGAAAGGACGGGAAATGGTGTCAAAAACTCCTCACTTTTAAGCCACTGGACTTTGATTTATCCCCCCAAATAAGTCCCAGCCACCACAACACTTGCAAAGAAACCCCCTAAACCCAGAGCTGTGCCTGGCATTTCCCTCATTTGCCCACTCACCTGCCCGATGTGTTGCCACGCCCGTTACAGAACCACTTCTTGCTGGTGTTGCAGTAAACCACGCAGGCAGGGTCGTGGATCCCACAGTAACTGCCATTCAGAGGGGGAAAAAAAAACACACCAGCAAGTGATTGGCTGCTTGCTCCCAGGGAAATTCAAACATCTAAGCCACTTGGCAGTGCACAGAAATAAGGGGAAGTGAAAGCTGGGGAACACGAGGGGTGGTGAAAGCACCGAACACGAGCCAAGCACAAACATTTTAATATTTCCCAGCACTGCCATCCCTGGCTTGGCTGAGCCTCCTGTTTACTCCCCCGGGGAGTTGAGAGCTGACCTTCCCACCACTGCCATCCCTGGCTTGGCTGAGCCTCGTGTTTGTTCCCCAGGGTGGGTCAGAGCTGACCAGGAGCGGATGTGGCAGCTCCGAGTCCGTCCAGGAGCTCAGAGGGTCCCAAATCCCCCTTCCACTCCCCCAAAACGCTCCTTCCCTCTGGGAATAAATAAAGCTTGGGTTCTACCTGCAGGCGTGCACAGGGAGGTCCTTGGTGTAGTAGGTGTCTTCCTCATCCTCCTCGAAGTTGAGCTCTGCCAGGAGCTGGCTGGTCTTGGCCACGTTCTCATCCACAGCTCCGTTCTGCAGGATCCCATCAGGCCCATTCACCTGGAACACAGCTCAGAGCTTCAGTTCTGCCCCCAAACCACCCCTACTGCCCCAAACACAGGCTTGTGCTTCCTTTCAAATCCTCAACAGGGCAGCAAAACGCTGCTGAGAGCTGGAAAAACACACACGATGGACTCAGTGCCTCAGCTCCTGCTCCACAGGAATATTTAAACTCCAACTGATAAGTGGGAAGGGGGGGAAAAAAAGTTGACCAAAGGAGGTTGCTTTGCTGCACTTCCATTTTTCCACAGCCTTACATAACTCATAATCAATACCTGCCCCATTAGCTCCTGCTTCACCCAATTATTTAAACTCCAACTGATAAGTTGGGGGGGAAAA